ATGAAAAATGAAAATTGTTCATGACTGAATGTAATGAACTGTATGAAAACACCTAAAAATAAGTGTGAGACTAGCAATACATGTTGCCAGTAATTACATTTGGATCTGAGTTGTAATGCCTCATTGCAGGCCGTATGAAGAAGCACAAGATTGCTCAGCGTGGTATGTAGAGGACTATGCTTGCTGCATGATATACATAAGTATATATGTAAATATAAGTAGTAGAACCAGAGTAACTGACATAGCCCAATGGATCGGAGTAAGTTGAAGTGGCAATGGATCGGCTATTTAGCTCAAAGAACAGAGAACGAATGGGGAAAAAGTTCTCGAATGGCAGCTTTATACTGGTAAGCAAAGTGTAGGATAGCCTCCCACTAGATAGATACAAACATTGAAATATAAATGTGTAATGTTATAAAAAAATTAAATGAGTAATAGTAACATAACAGTAAATACTTTGCTTATTGGTACCAAAAACAATTGGCCTACCAAAACAGATTCTGACCAGAAAATTAGACATAAAGAATTTTACTGCTTTTACAATTTAAAATGTAACTGAGTAAAAATATCTAAAAGTGTACCAACATAGGTGTACCACATTAATCAAGTTGAATGTTAAGTAGTTTTTCTCCTGAATTTTCTTAGGAAAAAGCTTAATATTATAAAATTATTAAAATAACTACAAATCATAGATTTTACATATTATTCTTAAACCTATTTCGCTACTATTTCATGTATCCTAATACTAAAACTTACAATAATAAGTTTTAGTATTAAGCTATTAATAATATCTTCTTAATAAGTTAAAAAATATGATAAATCTACATAAGTTGTAAAAATTATAAACGAAAATAAATACTTAATTTACATAATGGAAATAAATATTAATGTTCAATAATTTTAATATTATTGAGTTTTCTTCAACATAAAAGGTAACTATACTTCAATAAGTGATCAGTTTAAGGTTGCCACCTTTTTTTTAACAAATATAGTATTTTTCTCAAAAAGGATGCAAAAATATAGTACTTTTAAGGAATTCAAGACAAAAAAGTGCACATTTTTTTAACCTTTATGTATTTTTCCATATATATTTGTTATTACTCTTTGCTTTGGCTATGAATGATCTATTGCCTTTAAAATAATTATAGGAGTCCGAGCAATTTATATTCACATTAAAATTTATAAAAAATTTATTTCTAATTAAATTAATACATGCTCTATTTCTTTCTTCTTTCAAGTTTAATTCATGATGGAATCAAATATTTTCTTTAAACTTACTTCCAATCATAGTTAATATCAAAGACTTGAATTGAGGATAAAATATAGTACTTTTCCATACTATATTATTTTTCTATAATATATAGTACAATCGACTGAAATATAGTATGATGCTATACAATACTACAGTATGATATTATAGTACGGGTGGCAACCATAGGTCAGTTTCAGGTGATTACTTAAATATAAGTTAAATTGGTTTAAATAAAAGTGGCAACCAATCAAATATTATGTAATGAATTAAATTCTTATTAAGGTTAATAAAAATTACCAACAACATTTAATAAATAAATTCAGCTTTCAGCTTTTAAAAAAAATTACTTATAGGAATAACATTAACACTTGTAAGTATTTAATGATAATGATAAAAAAATTAAACCTAAACATATAATACCTCTTTCCTCTTCCTTCGGAATTTCTACTTCACTTAGTACACACGTTGTCTCCTCACTCATAAACACGCTTTCAAAATATTCCTTCCATCTCTTTAAACTCAAAACTTCATCATTCAGAATATAGCCATTCTCGTCTCTTATAGCATTCATCATAGGCTGTTTTGAATGTCCCCTGGCAGTTCTTACAAGTTTCCAGAACATTTTAATATTTGCCTGGAAATTATCCGATATTCTTCTATCATTCTTATCCGTTCTTTCTTGCTTTTTTTCTTTCAACTACTTCTTTTACTCTCTTATTAAGATGTCTAAAGACTGCCTTTTTTCTTTCAATATCATCATTCGTACCGCTAGAATTACCAGCCTTTGTTGCTAGTAAATCTAGCCATGCTCTCTTCTTTGCTTCAACTTCCATACGTACCTCATCATCCCACCATAACGTATTATTTTTCCTTTCATTCTTTCTCTTACTAACACCACATACTTCGGTAGCTGCATCCACTAAACCTTTCTTTACATTTTGCCATACATTCTCCAAGTCTAACTCCTTCATACATAATTCATCCAAACCACTTATATTTTCTTTCAGTCTACATTTGAACTTCTTTTTCTCACCTTCATCTTGTAACCTTTCTGTTCTAATACGCTGTAACGCAGTGGTAGACACAGATGACCGATGGCGCCAACGCCTGAATAGACCATTAATTCGGCATAGAACCAAATAATGATCCGTTCCTACGTTAGAACCCCGGTAAACCCTTGTATCTACAACTGCGCCCCTCAATCTTTCATCCACAATTATTAAATCTATCATGCTTCTATCGTCACCTCTTTCCCAAGTATACATGTGAATCCTCTTGTGGCGAAAGCAAGTGTTCGTCACAAAAAGATTCTTTTCCATACATACGGTGAGGAGACTTTCACCATTCTCATTTATACTTTCATCACCAAACGTTCCCAATATCCTTTCATAACCAAGCCTCCTCACCCCAACCCTTCCATTAAAATCTCCTAGCATAATAATATTTTCATTTCCCTTACACTCCATTAACACCATCCTTACCATTTCCCAAAACTGCTCTCGGATATAAGTGGGCTTAGACATGTCTGGGGCGTAGACCCCTAACACAAACAACTTCTTTAAGCCCACTATCATTCGTATCCACAGAAGTCTTGGGCTTACACATTCATACTCTTTCACACATTGGCCCATTCTTTCTGAAAGGATGATACCTACTCCCTGGCATGCCCGCTCGATCTCGTCTACACCAGACCAGTATGCGGTATACATGCCATGTGTAGTGACATCCTTTCCCTTCCTTTTCGTCTCATTTACACATAACACATCTATTCCTCTATCATTCATCATATCGCATACTTCATCCATTTTATCATTCATTGCCCCACATACATTCAACGTAGCCAGACGGACCTCTGCAATCCACTTTTCGCCTCTCCGGGAGACAGAACGTGACGGGTGGCGATAGGTGAAATAATGAAAGCAATGAAAAGCATGAAAGCAGGTAAGGCTGCCGGATATGATAGAGTTTCACTCGAAATGCTAAGGGCTGGAGAGGAAGTGGTGGCAGGCCTGCTGCACACCTTGTTTAATTTATGCTGGGAACTGAAGCGGGTACCGGTAGACTGGTGCAAAGCCGTGATAGTCCCAGTATATAAGGGAAAAGGGTCGCAGCAGGACTGTAAAAACTACCGTGGCATCAGCCTTCTTAGCATTGTGGGAAAACTGTATGCTAAGGTACTGATTGAAAGGGTCATGAAAGAAACTGATGGAAAAATTTGGGATGTGCAAGCAGGATTTAGAAAGGGAATGGGATGTACAGATCAAGTTTTTTCCATGCGCATGATCGCGGAGAAGTTTTTGGCCAAAAACCAAAAGGTTTTTTGTGCGTTCATGGACTTGGAAAAGGCCTATGACAGAGTGAATAGGGATGTGCTATGGCAAACACTGAACTCATTTGGGTTGAGCGCTGGCTTGATACGGGCATTGGAGTCCCTTTATAGGGACTCTAGTGCTTGTGTTAGGATCAACGGGGTCTACTCGGACTGGTTTGACATCCATAAAGGTGTCAGACAGGGCTGTGTAGCTTCCCCGTGGCTGTTCAACCTATTTATGGACAGTTGTTTGCAAAATTTGAAAGTTGAAGAATGCGGATTAAGAATGGGTGAGTTAACCGTCAAATGCCTTTTGTACGCCGATGATCAAGTTATACTTGCGTCGTCGGCGGCCGAGTTGCAAATGATGGTTACATTAATGAACAGATCATTAAAAGAAAGGGGTATGAAAGTGAACGCAAGTAAGACGAAGGTTATGGTTTTTGAAAGAGAAGAAAGTAAAACGATTTGTGAAATAAGAATAGAAGGGGAGTTGATCGAGCAAGTAGACGAGTTTGTATATTTGGGCTGCGTATTTAGCAGGGATGGGAGATATGATAAGGATATAGAACGACGAGTGAATGCGGGAAATAGAGTAAATGGGGCCCTGCACTCTATTGTGAAGAGTCAAAATGTGTCGAAAAAGGCACGTATGGCAATTCACAATGCTGTGTTGGTCCCTACTTTAACATATGGTAGTGAAAGTTGGGTGTGGCAGAAGAAGCACGAGAGTAGAATGAACGCAGTAGAAATGCGGTCGTTAAGGAGTATGTTAGGGCTGAATCTTAATGACAGGGTAAGAAATTGTGTAATAAGAGAAGAGTGTGGTTTGCAAGATGATGTTGTGACCAGGATTAAGAAAGGAATGCTTCGGTGGTTTGGTCATGTGGAAAGAATGAATGAGGAAAGAGTGACAAAGAAAATTTATGTTGCAGAAGTGAATGGCAGAGTCGGAAAGGGACGTCCTAGGCGAAAATTTATCGACCAAATTGGCGATTTATTGAAAACGGGCCAAATTAGGAGTACCCTTAACCGACGAGCATGTATGCGGAGGTGTATGGATGTGAAGGAGGCGAGAGAGGTGTGTCAGGATCGTGCCAAATGGAAGTCTGTAGTCTCTGCCTACCCCTCTGGGTGACAGGCGTGAGTGTTTATATATATATTATATATATATTATATATATAATATATATAGAATAAATTTTGATTTATGATTAAAAAGTCACGAGGTAATGAGTCCTGATATGTTTTCCTCGTTTTTCCCAGCGTTAGTATCAACTTTCGACTTCTGTTTGGACGAGGGCACAGAACACTACTCTCTGATGAGGATCTACCAGGGAATATGAAAAATACGCTCATACAAACAATTTATTTGTCATGAGTAATTTAACAATTACTGCTAATGAAAACTGAGAGATTTGTTACGATAGTACTGTACCTGTATTCAGGAAAAAACAAATCCAAATATTTTATTTACACTTTGTGTACACAAAAGTACCTATTTCATAGCTATCGATGTATTATCATTGATAATCTTGAGTATTGGTACAAATAACCACCGATAACGTATTATTTTACAAGTTTCACGACATTTACATGTTAAAATGTTTTGGAAATCTATTTGTCAATAAAAGAAACTACTTCGTCGTAAAAGGTTACCTGTCAAAATAATTTTTATTTACTTTTTTTCTATGAGCGATACTCGTGATAACAGTCACTTCCTCACACACTGAGCATCTGAGCCACACAGAGCAATGAGCAACCGCAACACAACTCACTCACGTCAAACGTCGTGTTCGAACTTAGAGCGAGCAGCGACTGCTTAACATAAGCGCATTTTTACCGGCTATTATTTTTTGATCTAGAAATAAACTATATTTCATTGCGCCGTGCATCGTAAACTTTAGTTAGTACCTACTTATTTTTATTCTATACATATTATAAAATTTTGTCTGTCTGTAATATCGAAATTACTGCCTTTTATACATATTACGCAGAGGGGGTTATTAGCATGCGATTAAGACAATCATTTTTAAAACTTGTCTGTATGTCTCTATGGGAGCGAGAAACCTCTGTCTATATGGGCTAATCTGCGAAATGCCTGAACAGATTGTTATAAAACTTCAAAGACACAGTGATCAAGGCTATATTTATCCGAAAAACTCAGATATTTTTTGTATATTTTTTATAGCATAAGTTTGGCAAATGAGCACACAGTCCACCTGACGCTAAGTGGTTGCTATGACCCATAGACATCTACATGTATTCTTGATAACGAATCAAAATACATATGAGTTGTCACCCATGAGGACTAAGAGGGAATGCCTCGTTTCCAGTAAAAATGGCCTCGGGTTCTCTACACTCACCAAACGAAATACAGCAGCGGTACGCTGCTATTTGATGCTGGTATTCTGAGAGCGTGGTCCTTCCCCAGTCGAGCCAACCAATTCGTGTTACAACTATACCAGTAATATGGCTGCAGCATGACTCTACCACGTAAACTAAAACGATTTAATAAAACATAATGTAAAATAACATAAATACGTATTGTTAAGGATAACTCAAAAACTACTGATCAGATCTTGATCAAATTTATATGAGACCACATAAGAACCCTTTAAATTGTTCAACTAGAAAAAGTTCTGTGGTAACACTCATAAAAAATGCAGTCGAATTGAGTACCTCCTCCTTTTTAGAAGTCGGTTAAAAAGTAAAAAGTTGTATGTGTAAATGGCCTTTGGTTATAGTGAGTCGAAATAATGCCACATTAATAGATCCTACCTAGGCGAAGCTAGGGTAGATCGCTAGTCTTTTAATAAAATAAGAACACAATGAAACATCATGCGCATGATGTTTTGTTGTTCTTATTTTAAAATGTTAATAATCGAAAAGAATTATTTACTTTGATATTTATCTGCTTGTTTATCTTCTATAATATAAAATACCCCTATAAGAACTAAATTATAAATATAAAAGGCACAATAAAAAATTACGCATCTGTGATTACCAATTTATCTTTATTGTTTTAAAGAAAAGGTTAGTATACAGTTTATAATGTCGATTATTTTTTATAATATTAATATCTTGCTAATGAAATAATCGTACAAAAAACAGACACAAAAGTTAGTGCTGTATAAACTTTAATGGCTTTGCAGAAATGTTCATTTTCGATTCTCATATCTATATTTTTATGAAGTAATAACAACATATGTATTTGTGGAGGAATACTCAAAGCTATCGCTACAAATTTAAGCCGTGGAAATAAAAATTTTGGTATATAAGTACCAATTATAACAAAACAAAATAAAAAAGCACTCAATATGACATTGCTGCTTGTGTTTTTTGGAAAAATGTAAGACCCCATCAAGTAGCTCCAGTGAGCTAAAGAACCAATTCGGAATAGCCAAAACATTTTTTTAAGCAATGTACCGAAAATAAGGTAAAATATAGTAGTAACCAGACACATTTTGAAATCTGGATGTATCAATTAATGAATTTAAAGTTTTATTTAAATGTCTGTTCGTTTTCTGGAAGATTTTGATATAATACGGATTATGTAAATTAAAACAGATTTTGTAATAAACTGTGTTTTCCAAATCTTCATTTCATATTTTAAATATAGAAACCCATATATACTTTTGTAATATCATAACATTTACTAATAAATCATAATAAATCTTCACAGAATCGAATAGTAATTGACACTAATATGACGAGACAAATTATATATTTCCATAGACATATGGACATTACCTTATAAAAAATGAAAACCAATGAGAAACTCCTCCGAGATTCAATTGGCATGCATGAAGGCAGTTATTTCGCCGGAATTAAGAGTTTGGCTTCACGCTCTACTTTCACAACAACTATAGGCACATATCTAGACAAAGGCAGTTTAAGACTGATTTCTTGGGAAAAGGGACAATGTTTGGTGAGGGACACAAACTGCGTCAATACGTACTAACTAATAAGAGTACCGAGTAAGTCATTACGTTTGCTGTTACTCATCTCAAGAACACAATTTGAAGTGAAAGTGCTGTTGCTGAAACTACTGCAAGAAGTAAGCACTCAAAATATGCAAATTTATCGCACTTTTGAAGTGAAAACTTTAGCATCGTTGTGATTTGAAAGTCTATGAAACGTTAAAGCGACAGTAAAAAGAGTAGGGGAAGTGGGGCAGATTGATGCGAAAAATTTCAAGGTCACTTTTAAGTACTGAAATAACATTAAAGTGTATATTTTTTATGTTTTCCGAATTGATTAATCTATCTTTATTATAAAAGTATTCAAAAGAAACTGCCAAATTAAGGTTTAAATAAAATATAAAACTTTTAGTAAAACAAGGGATTTGTATCATTGTGCCCCACCTACGGGGCACTTAGATACACTACTTGGGGTACTTTGATACTAACTAAAATTTTTATGAAATTAGTACTAATTTGGAAGACTATTATGTAATAATACTTTTATTGTTCAGAGATTACAATCAGCCTTACAGTTATATGAATATATCACATTTATTACTCTAACTCGTCAATTTAACCATTTATCTTCTTCATATAAACTTTCCATAATTGAACATAAAAACACATAGTTTTCTTTTGATATAAAGTTAAAGTTAAAGTTACAGCCTATATACGTCCCACTGCTGGGCACAGGCCTCCCCTCATTTCTGAGAGGGTATTAGGGCAAGGAAGTGTCCGCTGCGCTGCCCCGATGCGTGTTGGCAACACATTTTACATGTCTTCGAAATATTTTTTTCTTATTCCTCAGACATGCAGGTTTCCTCACGATGTTTTCCTTCACCCCCGAGCACGTGGTAAATCAGCACTTAAAATTGCAATTAACAATTTCATTGGTGCCGGCGGGGATCGAACCTGGTTTGCTAGCGTACTGTGAAATTTACAGCGAGCGCTAACCATCTGAGCTCTTTTGATATAAATCAATCTAAATAAAACACACGCAATAAAAATGAGGAAATACATAGACAGGGGGAAGGGCAACATCTGTTGCAGTTACTATCCAGCAAAATGTAACTAGCTCTACCCTTTCGGCGGACACCATTTGTCCTACTTGCCTCTATGTCTTTTCAGCTAAAAATTTGGGTGTAGATAAAACAGTAGTGACTCCAGTTTCGTCATGGTTGATGATACGTTCAGGAGCAAATGTATAACGTAGCATTACACGCTCACAATTCTCAAAGAAATCATTCAATGCTGTTCTATTAAATGAGAAAATTCGTGCTGCGCCTAGTTTTCTGAGGCTAAGCTCCTGTTTTCTCATTCTAAGTCCTCTTGACCAGTCTTTCCTAACACGTTTATTTTTCTTCCATAATTCTGGATATTTGACACGTTGAAAATGGACAAAACCAAAAGTTGCTGTAAGCACAACCCGTGGTGCATTTTGCTACAGTTCAACAAATATTTAGCAAGCATCTTCTCTTCTTGTTTTGAAAATATTTAAGCAACAGTGTATTTAGAACTGTATGACTAAGACGATGATCTTTGGTTATGTTGAAAAGATTTGCAGCTCTGATGTTGCACATATCACCTAGTATACTTATACATAATTTCTTCGATATAACGTTGGATATGGCCTTCATATTTTCTTTGTTTATATTGAATCGTTCTGTCTTTGGTTTATGGGTCCACACCACTCTCTGAAAAAAAAGAAGTCGCTAAATTAATTATTAATTACAAAATTTTACATTGGGGCAGAATGATACAAGGATGCATCAAAGTGCCCAAGAGTTTACCGTATCAGAGATCGTATCAGAAGTTTTTGTAAAACGTTAACATCATGTTTATCTATGTTGATTTATTGACAAAAAATCATTAAACTAATATGACAGCTCACCTTTAATATGTATAAATATTTCGAAGAAGTTGTAGAAAGTGAGTGAAACTATATTTTTCATTCCACGTGTTTTTTTAGTTGGACGAACACAAAACACAAATGATCTCGTCTAATGCCATCAGCTAAATGGATGGCTGCGCGGCCGCAAGTGCCGCGCTAAGGCAGGCATAGACAAGTTAAAGTGTTATCACGACTCGATTACATCTAATCCATCAGGATATATGTTAGGTTTGCCATGTAGCGGCGGTTGAGAATATCCACTACCCCATATCTTCCCGTGGGTGTCGTAAGAAGCGACAGAGGGACACAGAAAGGAGATGGGCAGCAGCATCTTCCTAATAACAACAATAACATAATAAAAAACTGCGGTTGCCAACCCGCTCGCCAAGCGTGGCAACTATGGCAAATATCCCCCCCATGAGCAACGACACAAATAAATGGCCCCCAGTCCCCGGCGGCCCCGCTATTCCTGGCTACGGTGGCGACCATGGTAACGGCGGGGCAGGGGGTGCTAAGAATCTCCGGTGGAGGTTCGGTTGCCACCTACGACGAGTCGCCCTGGCAACGTATCACGCCCGCACCCTGGGGACTGACGAGAAGAT